AGCCAAAGCATTTGCTTACTCAGCGGGTTTTTTGTTTTTGCCTTTTTTTGGGTCTTCAATCGTAGCAGCTGCTAATGATGCGACTTGTGCGAGACGCACAATTGAAATGAAATTAATTTTGTTCCCTACATAATTAATTAAAGCCAGCCGTGTGGGCAGCCTCATGGAGAAAGCCAATGCCACCAACACCCACATTCCGGCGAACTACAGCGTCAGCTCCTACTCCTATTGGTACTCCTCCGGCTCGTATTATTAATTAGATTAACAACCCCCCATTAGGTTTTTGTGAAATCTGAGCCACATTTCACCTTGGTCGCTCGCATCGTAAAGCTGATAAATCACACGAATGCGACGACGCACAGAATAATTGCACTGCAGAGTAGATAGAGCCGGGCAAATGTTAAATAATAAATTTCATTTTCGTGTAATCAAATCGTAAAATACAAAAAATTATAATGAAATCGTTTGCCAAACCCAAAAGTCAACACGAGCCGACGCAGACGCAGACAATTGACACTGACATCAAAAGGAAACGAATGCAAACAGAAACAATTCCAAAAAAAAAAACAGCAACAAAACAGCAAAAATTTCCATAAAACAAAATTGTCTATCGATTTTACGAGCCGCTCGGAAAAGTTTCGACGAGATAAAGTAAATGCGGTCGGAAACGCTTGCGAAATTTCTTATTCGATTGAAATTTGAATTCTGATTAGATTATGCCTGGGAAAGAGATATCACATATGATATGATATTGATTGCCTAATATGGCTAAAAAGTGTTTATGGCCTTAACTGGAAAGCCAACCAGAGGCAGCACTGAAGAACTTTGCTAGAAGTTAATGGGACAAATAGCTCTGGCTTGTAGTCTTATATGTAAGGCAGTATCTAACTAAGGTTTCAGTACTTAAGATTTGCTTTTGATATATTCTAGTTTAAGTATGCTTACTTTAGCTCATAACTCAGATACAGACACTGAACAAATCGAAAATATTTATATCTTTAGCTATACATATCAATCCCTATATATTTTTCTTAAGTCTGTTATATCATATCATATTGCATATCTTCATATTTTTATTATTATTATGCTGTTTATTATTATTATTATTTAAGTTACTTTTCTTGTCGTTTAACAACTAAAAGCTGACAGCAGCTTGAGTTCTGCAAGTAGACCATCAAGGAAAGCCACGCAGAGATACTTAAAGCTTATATATAATAGGCAGTAGAAAATGCTGAACTTTTGTTTTTATAATAATAACAAAAGCAAATTTAAGAGCTCTACTAATGAGAGAGAACTCAATGAATTTAGTAATATAATGTTAACAAATATAATTTGTTGGCTTGAAATACAATGTAGAGCAAAAAAGCTATATTTAAAAATTCGACATATATAAAAATATAGGTTTATATATAGCTACAAATGCATATAGGTATATAAGTTTATAGCCATGTATATATACTTGACAAATGAATTGTCTAATTTGTGCAATAATGTAGGCAACTCAAACTGCTTCAGCTGAAGACTAGAATTGCCAGAGTAACTAGAAAATACTTGGTTTAAAGTATTCCAAACTTAGCATAAAAATAAATAAATAAATAAAATAAATAAATAAAATAAAATAAATAAAATAAATAAAATAAATAAATAAAATAAATAAAATAAATAAAATAAATAAAATAAATAAAATAAATAAAATAAATAAAATAAATAAAATAAATAAATAAATAAAATAAATAAAATAAATAAATAAATAATATTATATATAGCAAAGTATAGATACATACAGACTCATTTCCCTGAGCTGTACCCTACTCCAGAAACACTCTACTGCGCTGTGCAGTGATTGAGCTACTCCCTTTCTTAAGCCCCATTCAATTTAATACGTTTCACTCTTTACGCTCGCTCCACTCTTGCACATCAAACCTTGTCTCGTCCTGGCCAAATCTTATATAACAATAATCACATGGCTGGGTGATCTGTCTCCGTGTCTAACTCGCTTGCTATGCCGTCCCAAAGAATAGTTGAAAAACTGTGTTGGCGATAAGCAAATGTCAGCGGTGGCTGGCAAGAGGCCCACCAGCAAGCTTCAATTAAACGACAAGCCAAGGGTCACCAGATAGGCTCCAAAGTGCCGTCAGCGCTGATCAGCCTGGCTACCGATTGATCCCACGTCCGACAGAAGCTGGCCAAGTGAATGCGGCTGCTCTTGTCGCCAGCGTCTGCGGCTCAGTTTAATGAGCTTATCCATCATCGGGACGCAGTCTCCTCATCTGTCACAGGGCTAATAGGTTTCATTAGTCATCGAGCAGCGAGCAGCCGATCGCTCAGATTGTTAGCCAGCTCCTCTTATTATCAGCTGCTCGTTTCGGTCATTTCTCAAAGGCGAACCACCGAAAATAATGCCGAGCTCTGCTTGGCTCTTGCGCTCTTTGCGTGTCGACAGCAATTTTCACCTTAATTATTTATTTTTTGTCTTTTTGGGGTCTCTCGCAACGGGCACAGAGGACTTGACGTGCTGTCCAGCACGCGCTAATGTTTAATATCCGCCATGGCGCGTTCAGTTATGCAAATTTGCAGCCAGAGCAGGGGAAGCACAGCCAAGCGAGGGCAGTTCGACCAAAGCGTGTCCTCGTAAATTATCACACACACATAAGAGTCGAGTGTGTGTGTGTGTGCTTCATTTGGGCCAACGTCCTTTCGTGTCTACTTTGCCATGGCCTGTTTTTCTTGCTTTTCATGTAGTCCTGCCGCAGATTAGGCTGGTGCAACCGCCCCACGCCCCCACCCTGCCAGCCGCCCATGCTTGTCATCAATATTGGCGCCAACTACAGCTGCGAGTCGGAGTTACTGTGCGACCCGAGCTGCCATAAAATGTTCAATTAGTTAATGAAAAATTTTCCAATTGGATATCAACATTGACTTCAACTAACGACCGCAACGAGGACGAGCACGATTAGACAAAAGGCGAGAGGGCCAGGGGCTGAGAGAGGGAGGTCTTTTGTATGGGTTCTGCAAAGCGTTGCGTTGGTGTCGCCTCAAAATGTCCGTAGGTTGAATTTATGCATGTGATTTATGCACGACAGCGATTGCCAATTACAATATCATTTCTCTTCTTGTCTCCTTGGCTTAGCCTGTGCTTCGCCTGACTGCTATCGATGTGTGTGTGTGAGTGTGAGTGTGCGTGTGTAAAGTGCCATTAAGAAATGTGTCAAAACAGTTGAAGAATTATATAATTTAAATACAAAACGAAACGAGGCAGGTAGAAATGAAAGCGAGAATTCAAAAATTAATTGCATTTTTAATAAAGAACTTAAAGCGCTACTAAATGATAAATAAGCAAATATAATGCTAAAATTAGTAAATATAAAATATAAATACAAAATATATATCTATATTTTATATGCTTTGGACATTCTCTGTGTGAAACATATTCGAATTGGAGCGGAACTGCTCGAAGCTGGGCAAAAAATGAGACTCAGTATGCAGAGCTGATGCTAGAGAGTCAATAGTGTGTGTGTGTGTGTGTGTGTGTGTGTTGGTATGTTTTTCTTTCTCAGCAAACAGAAATTAAAGCCAAGCTAGAAAACAACGGCCAGCGAACAGGAAAACCCGACGCATGACACAAATTCAGAAAAGGTGGAAGCAAAAAACAAAAGCGACAAAAAAACGACATGGAAATGAAATCGAATGAAGGGAAATGGGAAAATGCTGAGAACGCATAGAAGCACACATAGCAACAGCAACAACAACAGCAGCAGCTATTTCGATGCTTGACCGAGCACAGCGCATCAACTCGATCAGGGCAGAGGGTAGAAGGCAGAGGGCTGTTAGTAGGGCCTCGTTTTACGCATTTGTGTTTGCCAAGCTGAAGAGTGAATGAAAAGCGCAGAGTGGGGGAAAACAAAAGAAAAGCTGAGCGAGCGCAAAGTGCGGGAGTTTCCTGTGCGCTATGGAGCTCTAATGAAGCCTGAAATCGATTTGTGGAACCAGTTCAAACGAACCAGCTCACAATTGTTGCAGCGAATTGGAACGCAACGAGTCGACAACCTGCCACAGCCACCCACACTCTGGGGCCAAGCAGACTCCTCTAGGAACTGCTTGGCCTGGCAGCTGTTGCCAACTGTTGAAAATCCTCAAATTTACAACCTGAACGAGAACCCGAACCAGAACCAGAACCAGAATTCGGCTTGGCATCTTTTTATTGTAATATTTACGATCGTCGTTGCTGTTGTTGTTGTTGTTGCTCTCCGCATTTTATTGTCTTGCTGCCTGCTAGAGGGACTCTGGCTCAGCTCACCTCACGCATTCTGAAGGCTCACAGCAAAGGTGTCAAGTGTTTTGTGTGTGTTATCTGCGCTGCGGTTAGCTTCTTGGTTTCTTCGCTGAGAGCCGGGAGTTTGGCCTGGCCTGGCCTGGACCGCAAACGGTGTCAGTCGCTGCGCTGCGTGTGTCTCTCAAATTGCGTCAGAAATTATCGCCATTAAATGTAGATGAGCGTTTTGTTGTTAAGTTATTGGCCCATAAATAACTATGGCTAGGTCCCACAACAACAACAACAACAACAACAACAACAACAACAGCAGCAGCAGCAAGTGCAACTGCAGCTCCAGCTGAACTTCATTCATAAGACGCTTGTCACAAAATTTATGCGCGCAGCTAGAAAAGCTAAATGGAAATTTAACTTGCGGTTGTTGTCATACAATTTGTCAGGTGAAATTACGTTTTTAATACCTTTTCAATGGAAGGTGAGAAACTGCATTGGAAAATGTCTTCGACAAACCCACGAAGCCCGCGGAATGTGCGCAAAAATAGGTTTTTAATAAGTAAATTCAAGTTGTAGCAACTTTTACCAGAAGAAGTTATAGCATATATACGATTAGTCTCTAATTAAGAACAATTTTCCTGTCAACTACCTCACCTGTCCACATTTAAGCAGCTAAAATGATGCAATTTTTTACTGCAAAGCTTACATATTAAAATACTAGTTCTATAAATGTATTCTCTATTATTAATTATAAAATTGTAATAAATATTCCTTAGGCCCCATTTCCGTCCTTCTCACCTCTTAACAAATTCTTTCAAATCTCCTCAAATTTTAGTGCAATTAGCTTTTAGCACTTGCAGCTGTAACATGCACAGTCAAGCAAAAGCTGTCTGCTATGCCTGCGCCATCTGTAGTTCACTTACTACTAAGCTATGTTGTTCCGCATAACTTGCCCCGCCTTAGTCAAACTTAGCATTCACACCCTGGCCAAAAGGTGGCGCTGCATTCGTTTCCAAGTAGTAATGTGAGGTGGCGCTAGCAAGAATTTAAAAAATTTTATTTAATCAAAGCTTTTAGCTCCACTTGCAGTTTATTCACCTGTGCGTCACCTGCTCGCCCATGTAAACCACCTGCCCATCATCCATATTGACAATTGCCTCCACGAGCGACGCATTGTTCAAATGAAACTCTGACAAATGATCCAAGCAGCTGCTGCTGCCTCTGATCACCTTCCAGCTGCAGGGAATAGTCGGAAAATTCTTGGGCAGCCCAATGGACTCAGCATAGAAGAGCACAGCCCGATTGTGACTACAGCTATCTGCAATACACATAGATTAGATAGAGTTATGAGTAGCTCGATCCAAGCTCACAAGCCTCGAGCAGGAGCTTACTCGCCGCCAGCAGATCCACCTCCTCGCAGCCCGGCTGTGGGGCGCGGCCAAAGTTGACATAGAAATCGGCATGGCCACGCGGCGTGAGATCGCCAAAGAGCGGATAATCAGTATGTATGACGTCTACGAACTGAGCAGCATTCGCCTTCAGGCTGTCCTCGGAGCGCGGCGTGAAGAGCGGCAGAGCAGGATCGAGGCCCGTCACACGGCCCACGGTGCCATTGAAGTAGCGACCCATGCGCCCGGCGATGTGAGCGCCCAGGCTATGGCCAATGATGTGCACTGTCTCGCTGGAGACATTGTGCCGGACCAGAAACTGCTCCAGCTGCTGGGCCAGCACGACGGCGACCTTGGCCACGGCCCTACGCGAGCTAGGATAGTCCAGGTTGGCAGCGGGCGACCAATCGGCTATGAGAAGGTGCTCAAAGCCCTGCGCCTGGTAGGCTAACAACAGAGAGTGAGTTCAAGAGCCTGCGAGTTGGGTCTGAGCAGTCGCCTTACCATTGCGCAGCGGCTGGATGGAGCTGTGTGTGCGAGAGCCTAGAAACCCGTGCACAATCAACTTGAGCGACTCCACAGTGGAGAGCTGCGCCACCTGGTCCAAGCTCAGCTCCGTTTGCACTCGCTGGTAGTAGATGCTGCTCTGCCTGGCCAAGGCGTCCAGGCTGAGCGCCTGCAGGCCCGACAACTGGCAGAAAACGGGCAGCCAGCAGTAGAGCATTCTGGCCATGCTGAAGCTCGAATCTGAATTGAGCCAGGCGGAAGCAGAGGCGCAGACTAAATAGTAAATGGATTGCATGCTGCGAGAGCTGCGTTTAGCTAATCGCCTCGCGATTAGCTGACGCACAACGAGTGGACAGCGGGCATCTACACACACGACACGTAGCGCAACTTTATTAACTAGGGTATATTAGGTGATTTTCCATAAATAACACGCAAGACATTCGAGAGGGGAGTCGGAGCGGGGCTTAGAGGCTATGGGCAGAAATGCAAGGCGAACGGAGCCTTTGGCGTTAGAGTTAGAGTTCGCCTGCTTCCCTGACGTATGGCAGTTGAGGCTGGCGGCTGCGAGGGCTAGCGCCTGGCCTCCTCCTGGCCCAGGGGGCGTATGAGCATTTTGATGCTGCGCAACGAGTAGTCCTTGCCCTGGAACGTGTCCCAATAGATGCCCGTCTCGCCAGCGCGCTGATAGTTCGTGCCCAGGCCGTGGTAGACGCCCATCAGGTTGCTGGTGCCGCACGCATTGAACCAGCCGCCGGCCTTGTGGCGCTGGGCGCAGCTGCACTCGAGGCAGTTGTCGTTGTCGCTGTCGAAGGTGCTGAACTTGGCGCCCGCGTGGTACGAGAACGAGTCGCCGGCCGGCGGCTGCAGGTGCTCCTGATACCTGCCCAGCAGACTGAGCGCGTAGAGCTCGCGCTCCCCGCTGATGGCGAACGAGTCGTAGCCGGCGACGGCCACATTGTCCTGGAAGTCCTGCATCCAGATGCGCAGCTCGTGCAGCGACGAGCTGGTCAGAGCATGCAGTTTGTCCAGCCCGATGAAGAAGTCGCCGGCCAGATTGCCGAAGCCCTCCTTGTAGTCCAGCCAGCTGCGCTCGAAGCTGACGTCGTCCGAGCTGCGATTCATCACCACCGTCCAGCCGTCCTCCTGGCAGGGCACATAGAACGGGTCGCTCTGCGGCGTCAGCTGCAGCTTCAAGATGCCATTGACAGCCAAATAGGACTGCAGGCAGCTCGTGGCATGCTCCTCGGCAACAGCCGGTGCTAGGCTTGCCACATTCTGCGGCAGCTGAGCGGACTGCGCCTTCCGATTGGCCAGACGTCTGCGGATGTTGCTGTGGAGTAACAGAGTTCAGCTGTGACCCGAGTCTGCTGCCATTTGCATAAGCTTACTTGGTATTCTGCACCAGCTTGCCCACGCTCTGCTGCGTGTCCTTGACGTTGTAGGCCAGCGAGACGAGAAACGTGGCCAGGGCGTCCAGGCGGCCGGCCACATCCAATTCCGTATCATTGAATGACCTGCCCCGTGCCCGCTGCGGCGTGTGCTCTGTGCGGTTGAATATATCCAAGTAGCTAGCCGCATTCGATTGCTGCTGCGAAGTGGCGCGCGTCTGGCGCGAGAGTTCTGTAAAGCAAAGCGAACTTTAGGCGCAGTCAAGACACTCGAGGGGCAAAGCCAAGCGATGCAACAACAACAACAACAACAACAACAATCAGAGACAACAGAGTTCAGTGTTCGGTTTACCGCGCAGCTTGTTGCGATTCTTTTGCTTGTGGCTTAGCTCTCGGCCCGCACGAGTTCCCACAATGGCGTCTGTTTCACCTTTCAGCTCGTCCAGCGTGTGCCTCGTCAAGCGCTGAATGTGCTCGAAGCTGTCCAAGCGCTGCTGGAAGTTTAGCTGCTGAGCCTTCAGCGACTCCATGCGGCCCGTGTTGCTGTCCAACAGCTGATCGACTCTGCGAAAGGCACAGAAAGTTTATTAACTAAAAATATATATATTTTATTTATGCCTTGTGAAAGGTCTTCTTGATGTGCTTTATAAATTTGCCTTGGGTCTAAATCTCTGCAAAAATTTCTTTCCACTCGCATGATATCATCGCGCCCTGCGTGGGCTACATCAATTGTAATTTATTAAAGAACATCATCTGTTTACACAAGCAAAGTTCATTTGGTGTGACGTATTGCCCATTGTGTTTCGGCTGACTGCTCTGCGGCTCATTAGGTAAGCATATAATTTATAAACAAATTCTAAAATTTGCTACCAACTCGTTTTCACACAACATTTGCCGTTTGCTGGAGAGTAAACAAGACGCGAATTTGGCTTAATTTATTATCGCAGCACCAGAGGGCGAAGCGACCAAATGTTTGCCAAAAGTAAACTTGAGAAAACAAAGCTGAAGAAATACAAATATCAGAGCCGACTGAACACATTTGAAGTGCCAAATTTATGGCTTTCTGGACTTGTGAAAATGTGGGTGGCAGGACATAAGCAGGCGTGGCACAGCGCCTACAGTTAACATAAACTTGATCAGCATCTGCAGCTGAGTCTGTGATGATCTTAGACTGATCACACTCTAATAGAACTTGTTTGCCACCTGCTTTACGGCTGCTGCGTTTCGGGAAGCTGCGGCTTAACATGCAAATGCGGCTGGAGAGTGTCTGACTTTTTATGTTTCGTCTGTCTGAATAAGCTGAGCTGGGAACTTGACAGAGCTGTGGCTACAAGCCTTCCTACAGCTGGTTCTAGCTTGTCTCAAATCAGCAAAAACTTGAGTTAGCTTAGCTAAAAGCTGAGAGGTATATAGAGTATCCATAAGACATCAGTTAATCTCTAGCAATGTCACATATTCCATTTCTAAGCCATCTTCTGGCAAGTACAACAAGAAGAAAGTCTGCAACGGAGCTAGAAAGCGCTAAGTGCTTGAAGCAGTTCGCCTTGAAGTGTATCTCCTCGCTGCAGTGTCGATCACTGCTGCGTGGAGCACTGTTAATAGTTTCAGTTAACTTGGCCTTAAGGCGTATCTGTGCGTAATCAATGGCATTGTAATTGACGCATTTGACAGCCAGCCGAAAAAGCCACAAAAAAGTCCAAAAATCTTTTCGTTCTTTTGTTGTTTTCATCTTTTACCGGTTTTCCGAAATACTTTTAGTGAGCGCGCGCTTGTATGTGTGTGTGTGTGTGTGTGTGTGTGTGCGTGTGCAAACCTGTTCGGCTACCTATGCTACGGCGACATGGCAAAAGTTCCATTGTCGTCGCACGTCGCTTACTTCTTATCGATGACTTCCAGGCGATGGCGCTGGTCCTCGTCCAAGGTCGCCAAGATGCCGACGCGATCGTGCAGGTTCGACATCAGCTCCTTCATCTCGTTATGCTGGGCAGCAGTGGGCGCCAGCGTGGGCGTGGCATAGTGCGGCTGCAATTAGATAACACCGAGCGCCAGGCCCATTGAACTCTGTTAGACAAGGCACATTCCGTTGCCAATTTGAGGTCGCGTGTGATATTGAATCAAGCGACATTAGCATTGGCGTGCTTGGCGTATACTTAACGCACCCGGTAGTTGCGCCCGCGCCACTGCGTGTGGACGGGCGGCACAACTGCGCCCACTGTCGCCACAGCGGGCGCTTGGGTGGGCACAGTGGACTCTTGCAGCGCCCCACTCAAGCTGCAGGCACAGCAGATAAGCGCCAGGCACAGGCGGACTGTAGACGCGCCCATTGCGATAAGCGTTGCAATAACAAATCTGAAACACTTTCAACTCGGCCTCACTTCACTCGCACACAGATCACGTTCTTCGCTCAGATCTAGCCGTGCGATGCGACTGCTCAGCGTGCGCTTCACGAATCAACTGAGCAACTGTGAAGCAAAGACAACTGAACAAGACTTGTCATGCGAGTGCCAGAGAGCGTGAGAGCGAGGCACTGGCAGAGGGTCAGAGTCTTAGACTCTTGTGCTGCTTGTCTTCTGCTTGGAGCACTAGATAAGTTTTGGCAGTAAACAAAACAATTTAGTAACTGAGGTAGTTGCTCTCTCTCTCTCCTTCGCTCTGTCTCCCACTCTCTTGGTGCTGGCTTTGTTTATGTTGCGCTGCGCCTTGTCTCCGCTCGAAAAATCCCCGCGCTTCAGACAGTTTGTCAATCACTCACGGCCCAAGTTGATAAGCGAATTTACTCGACAGCTGAATTACCCATTATATTTGATATTAATCAATGAATAAATATATTAATATATATAATTATGTTTCTATATAAAAGCATGACACAGAATTTCGAATTACTCAGCTCAGTTTCCAACAAAGGAATTACAACAAGCCATATGCATGTGTTAATCTCTCTCACACTCTGTATATATGTATATAGCTCTGGTTGCTTTTCTTAAGCCTTTCAAGTACCTACACGCAGCACAGATTGCAATGCCTTATACATAAATAACAGTCCAAAGCGCGCCTCAGTCGCTCACGTATGCGAAACCTGCCTCAAGTTTTGCGTCACTCACAACTGATCCGCAAACAAATATATATATATATATCAATGTCTATATCTATATCTACCTGTTCAGAGTGGGAGCTTCCCTTGGGCCTTACCATGCTCAGCTCAGCTCAGTTCAGTTTAAAATGTGTCTTGAATTTGAATCAACAATTGACGATCTTTGATCTGACGACTCTTTCGTAGCTTTTCGCATTATAATTACAGCTCATTACATTTGATTGTTAAGTCACTTGTATAAATAACTCTCTTTTATTGCAGTCTACTAAGTTTATAAAAGAGCTATTAAATAATTAATATATAATATTAGCACTCAAATGAGACTTTGAATGAACATAACTCGCTTGAATGCAGCCAGATCAGCGCAGCCATCAAAGCTATCGATTGGCACTTAAATTAGGAATTTTAAATTAAAGTTTACCTGAACTGAAATATTCCAAAATAACAAAAGTATTGAAGATTTCTGCAGTGATGTCTTTCGTGCCGCGGGGAAAACATTTAAGCATGAACATGTTATTGACGGCCATTCCCTGACGTCTTCAAGAGAAGCCATTGAGTATAGAGGCGTAAGTAAAGCACTTGGAAAATCATGACAATATATAAATAATTAGTTAAGAATTGCAAACAAAAGGTGTCGCGCTGCGCATCGATATTGCAGCTCAAAACGAACTTAAAAAAAAAAATTAAAAATTTCTTAAGTAAATCTTTGGAATGAATCAGTCCTTTGTCTTGGAAATTTTTGGATGAGTTTTGTATTTTTGAATACATATATTATATATATAAATAAATAATTATATATATTATATGCATAAATATATAGACTTTTGTTCGATTGACGTTATCTTTAATGAAACAAACATATTTTTGTAGCTGTAGCTGTAGCAACTCTAAGAAATCTTCTTTGAATATGAATCTATATTATATAGTCAATATGAGATGAGTCTTTGTGAATGTGTTTATTTATAAATATATATAAATATATATAAATATATATATATATATATATATATATATATATATATATAGTTACCTTTTAGATGATAACGCTTTATAGCTTTCCGGATTATGTCATTATTTTTCATTGATGCTTTAGCTGCTGTTGTTGTTGTGTTTGTTGTTGTTTGGTAAATTACAAAGCATTTGCTTTGCTGTTTGTTATGGGGTTTTTGAAGGTTTTTAACGGTCATCGTGGAAACCTTTTGCCTTTTGCCAAGCCAGCTGGCCAGAGTCGTGCGCAGATGCATCGCCTCTGATAGACCTTTGGCAGACAGCGACATCAACTGCAGCCCAGGCGGATGAACGGATCAGTCGATGACGCCAGCCCAAAGGCAACAGCAATAAATTTGTAAATAAAAAGATTTAATAATAATAACAAAATGCAGAGAAAAAAGTGGCATGCCTCGCAGCCATTGGGCCCCAAAAGAGTTGTGTCATTTGCATAATTACCAACGGCTTCAAATTGTGGGAGTCGCTTGCGAAATGTAGCTCAATCTGGCAGTCAAATTGAGGCGGCTCAATTGCAATGGGCAGCGTTAATTAGCCAGTGGTGGCAACTATTCTATTTGGTGTCATAAGACACTATTAGTTTTCTCAATTGTTATTTATGGCGACCGAGACATTCATCAATGCGGCGACAGCCTCGAATTCCAAAGTGTGTCATGCGCCAGCTGCTTAAATAGATGCGAATGCGAGGTCTGCCTAAGAAGCAATGCGAATTTTGTTTCATTTATATATATATATATATATATATATATATATATATACATATATATATATATATATATATATTCGATTATTGATATTTGAAGAGACTCATGCTTGTCTCTTATGCCAGGCGCTGGGGTCATTTCGAACGATCTGCTCTTTTGCTTGCACGTCTTTTGGCTCGTCTGCTATGTTTGCCTTCTTACAAAGATTGAGTGATGGATGTTATATAAAATTAGTATTTAAAGGTAGCCAGCACTGCCTCAGACTTGGTCTTAACATGATATCCGCAACTGTAGAGACCTATGAAGGGCAGCAGCTGGGCTACGATTGACTAGAAGCAGCTGAAGAAGATCTCAAAGTGATCTTTGAGGTTTGGCAAAAACATTGATACAATTCTATAATATAAAATGAATAATTGCTTGCAATACTTGTGAAGCAGACCTCGCACATACACACATATAGATAACATATATTTATTTCTGTTTTCTGCAGCTAATGTCAGCTACGAATTGAGTGGAAATCCAAGGGTAATTGAAACGTTTTGGCTGAATTCTATTTGAATTTGGTTTTTTATTTTATTTTTTTTTTGGAATTTTTGTTTTATTTTTGCATTTTATTTAATATTAAATTATTGTACAGGTTGAACTTATTCAAATTGTATTTAGTTGCCATTCAATATGCATTCGTATTAAATCATAAACATTCAATTTTGGGTTTTTTCACTTTTTCGCTACTTAGAAATCGAACTACAGATTGTATTTACACGAAAAGAAACGAAAAACTGAAACAAAAACACATATATATATATTTATATATATATATATATATAATAAAGGTTTCATCTCATTATCTTTCTTGTTGCTTTGCTCTTTCAACTATACAAAAAACTGCTTACAGTGTAAACATAAAAACTACACACGCGATGTCTACACAGATTCCTCGAAGAGAACTCATAGATTCACATATATATATATATATATATATATATAGAGATTTATTTATTTATAATTTCTATTGACTTTTGTTTGCTTCGTCTTGTATTTAATAGATTTGTTTATTAATCATTTATTTTAATATATTTTTGTTTTGTTTTTAACAAAGGTACGTTAAATATTTACGACAAATTCAATGCATTAAAAATAATTTAGTTATGCCTCGACCTCAACTCGAGTCAAGTCTTCAAATATCGAAAGAGATTTCCATTTATCATTTCATCATTCATCTTTTACCTTACGTTCCTGCGGGCTCTTGGAAGGGAACCCATACCGCTTAGCTACTAGAGAATACAACTAGAGACACGTTCAGCTAAAAACATTCTTAGTGCTTACCATTTGCGATTACTTTACTTTAGTTATTATATTTATATATTTATATATAGACTAATTAGCTTAATGCGGCGTTTCCAAATTTTTACTTTTCTTTGTTTGCTTTGTTCTTGTGCAGTGAATAAAACTGAATTTACACACACACACACACATATATAGATATATGTATGTGTGTCTGTGTGTAACTGTAGAACTCAACAGATTTATGATCATCATCTATCTCTCCTTTACTTTAGCTTGATCAAATCAAAATTGTTAAATCAAATTGGCGATTCGTTCGATCTTTTGTTCATTTGGCTCGTTGGCTTATAAACTATGGACGTAACCTCGGGATGGGAAAAGTGCGAAAAGTGCATTGCCATTGTTAAATGTTGCAAATGTTTTCCAATTCATTTTGTTTTTTATTTTTGTATTCGTTTTGTTTTTCTTCTATTTAGTTCTGCTAAATGTTTACACGATTTAATTTCCATTTCAATTACAAACAATACAAAATGTTTATACGATTTTTAAGTGCTGAGAATTTTCAGTTTTTCGTGCGTTTTTAGCTCTTCAAAGAATTCGCTCAGCATCTAAATTTTTTCGCTCTAGTGTGCTTAAATTTCATGTGGTTTGAATTTGTTTACTTTTAATTTTATTTTTTTTTTGTTTTGCATATTTTTGTCTTGTTTTAGGTTTTGCGTACTTTTTTCATAAATCACAGAAAAAGTTTTTTCATTAAATTTTTTTTGTTTTCTCATACTTTATTTTAATATTCAAGTTCACTTTTATTTCTACTACAAAATATAATTTTGTTTTTGTTTGCGTTTTTAAACGCTGCTAAAACGCGCGCGTTTCGGCTTGTGTTGATAAACGCGTTTTTAAAATAGTTTTGTTTTTTTTTTTCTATTTTGTAGAATATCTTATAATTCCATTGAAATTTTACTCTAAACTCGATTAGTTTATGTTCTTGATATAAGTTTGTTGTTGGTTTCATAAAAGTGTTTGGCCGCTGGGCCACAGATGGCGCCACCACGTTTTTTTGGTTTTCATAGATTCATTGATTTAAGTAAATAATTTGTTAACATATTTTGCTCTACGTTTATTATAGTTACTTTCACTTCTACACGCCAATATTTATTTATATATTTAATTCAGTTTTCTTTTCTTTTTTTTTTTTTTTTGATTCATTTACGTTTTAAAACCATTTGAAATATCTTTGATTTCCTTATTTTGCACATTAAGTTAGTTTTGCTCCTCTATAGAAACTTTTCTATCTCCCCCTATCTCTCTCTCTCTCTCTCTCGTCCTCTCATCGTTTGTGTTTGTTTTGCGTAACGTTTCATAATAGTAGTTGTGGAAATGGATTGTTTTGGAGTTCGTTTCGACTACGTTTCTATGTAAAATATTTGGTTAGGTTTATTTTTGTAAGTTCTTATTTAGATTTAGTGTTTGACTATTTGTATTTAGAATTGATTTGTTGCTGCTGCTAAAAACTTTTACTCTTACTACATTTCAAATCTAGTTTTTAAATTGAGTTTAACTATGCGATTCGCCTTCGTTGACACGCCCAAATCTCTCGCCTGATGCTGTTTAATCTTTTAAGTAACTACTTCGACTATTTACTCTTAATTATTTACTAGGATTTCGTTTGATTTCATTTATTAGTTTGCGGGACAGCAGCAAAAAACTGAAAATAAAAACTCATAAAAAAACAAATGAAAATGAAAATAAAATAATATATATATAAAATTATGTAGTATAAATTTTTAAAGTTTATTTTTGTTTGTTGTTGTTGGTTTTTCGCTTTATACATAAATTCATTTATTATTTGTATTTTAATTAATAATAATTAAAAATTTATCACTTAAACAGCGCGGCAAAGTTTTCTTCTTGTAATATGAAAAGAGCGTTAAAAATTATAATCATAATTTTAATAATAATAATAATAATAATGATATAGTGCATTAGTGAAACAAGAGCTAAATATCGGCTGGCCGAAGCTTGAATACTCTCGAAGATACACGCTAAATAGTTGTTCGCAGTTTAGGAAGATGTACATAATATATATGTTTATATATATATATATATATACATATATATATATGTGTCTATATATATTTTGTAGGTTTTATATGATCCGTTTTCTAACATCTTCCATTAGTTGTAAATCTAATTGAATTGTAAGAGAACTATAGTTGGGCCTGAGGTTTGGATCTAAACTTGTCTTAGATGGCCCAAGGCGCTGGGCTCTAGATGCCCATAAGGAAAGTTATGCTTAGTCAATGCAACTACTTAGAAATACAAACTCGAGTGAACGAACACAGAGGATAACCGAAAGGACATCTGATCTGAGAGCAAAAAGAAAACAAATCAAATCAATTTGGACAGCACAGAGAAATTTACAGATTTTATATAATTAAAACAAAAGCGAGAACAGGAAATTCAATTTGCTTAAATTATAAATTTTGTTTATGTATAAAAAATAGTTTAGAAACAAAGCGAAAATTTGACTAAACTCTGAGTATGCTTATTAAAGATGACGTGAATATAGCCTAACTAACTAAAACGTAACTAATGTATGCCCAGGCACGATATATTTGACTGAAATGCTGCTGTCTCTCTCACACACACTCACTCACTCACTCTCTCTCTCTGTCTCTGTCTCTGACTGTGGTTCAAGACGCGACTTTGATGGCTTCCAATTGTTGTTTGTTGCTGAGTTGTTTGCTGGGTTGCTTTTGTGGGTTGTTTAGCTGGGTTGTTGTTGTTGTTGTTGGACTATAATATTTGGGTCTAACAATAGAAACGTACGCCATCCACTGAGAGGACCTGCTTTAATTTTCATTTATTCTGTCGATTCGGTTCCGTGTGCAGCTGCACGCCTTCCACGGTAAAAATTGAGGTTTCTGCAAGGCAATAAATTGATATATGATTAAATTTATATGAATTTCTGCATATTTATTCAAATATTTGTTAATTAAAATATAAATTATGACGGACCATTATTTAATGCACTCGCTCTCGCTCTGCCATCAGACCCCAGGCCAGACAATTAAATTGCAATGCAAATTTCATTGCGCTAACGAGTCGTGGCTCATAATGTGCCACGCCCAACGCCCACAGCGCTGCACAACCGCAGTGCTCACACGCTCCAAGTGCTGCGGTTCTTTTTGGCTGTGCATTGACCTTATCCGGCTGGCCGACATGATAAATGCGGCACATTTGTTGCGTTTTAATTGATTTTATCTGAACAAACTGTTAAAGCTGCGACCACAAGAGTGGGTGGGCGAGTGGCGCCCTTCGATGAACAAACCCCAAAAGCTATAAAGCTGAAATTTTGCCCTAATGAGCGTGCACCTGTGCGAAATCAGAGCTGTTTACAATTCTGACCAAAATTAGCATATATTTACAAGAGTTCGTAAATAGTCGGGGAGCTAGACAGATGTGTTTACAAATCAACGTTAATCACATTTTAAGTGCACATTAAGCTGCACAGCCATTAAATGGACATCAGGGAGGGATGCTGTCTGCCTGCTCTGCCGGCCCTAAATGCACTTGGCAAATTGCAATGTTCAATGCGTTTCGTATTCCGTTTAGTCCACCAAATGTTTTCCCATTTGCAACTGCAAATCGAAGCAAGCTAAATTAAGGCAGCGCGCACAAAAAACTTCAGCACAAATTTATTTTGCTTAAACGACTTTAGCTGCATGTGGATTTGACCAGAATAATTTGCGCTGCCACTTGACTAATGGCCAAATGGTAATTCGAGGATATTAGAAAGGAGACTTTATATAAGCATGAAGTATATAAGTAATTGGAGTGTATAGAAATGCAGATTCTATAGCGGACACTGTATGAAAGCGCTTTAAGGCGTAGCAGCGCCTTGCTGACTCATGTACCTTAGAGCTCGATTTTTTTTATTGCTGCTTATTGTCTTAGACTCTATAGCGCATTTAGCTCTAAACCTTATTTTCAATTCTGCGCATTTTGCTACTAATCTAGTCTACTAATACTAGTCTATGGTCTATGATCTATGGTCTATGATCTATGGTCTATGGTCAATGGTCTATGGTCTATGGTGCAATCTCTTAAGCCTTCGCCTATTGTTTTTTAATAGAGTTTTATTATTACTCAGCTTCTTCTTCACTTACTTGTGTTCACTTATACTTAAGCATGGTGCTATAAATTTATGCTAAATACTACAAATCACATGTCTTTGTATATGAATAGCACAAGCCAAGCATAAAAGCCATAGTTTTCTATAGGTTTTTCAAGGCTTTTGCTGCTATAAAATCTCCGGCTACCATCGCTCTCAAGCAGAACCTCAAACAGATATGTGTCCTATGCTAAGGTCCACAAATATTTAGCTTGCAACTGGCGGCGTTTTTGTTCATGGAATTATTGAAAATCTGCAACTGCTCCATTTTGCTTTCAATTGCCTTTAAATATTCTCAGAAGAAAGAGTGGTCTAGTCGAGAGTATCCGACTAGGAAATACCTAGAGCTTTGCCATTGCAATCTCATATTCTTATTTGCAATAGGTTCAGTTGCAGTTTCCTAAACTTTCTGTTCTTGGAATATTTCGAAAAAACATGACTTGGTGGAGCTTTACTTATTCTAATGCAGTTTTGAGCTGAGCACGACAACTGACGGAATCTTGACTACAAAAATCCTGCCTGCTTTCATTGCATCAAGAAAAGAAGGAAAAGGAAACTATATCCATGGATATATTTCAAGCAAGTTATTGCTATAGTTAGACAATTAACTTCTACTATATAAAAACTAAATTTATTATTTAAAAATTACTAAATTTATTATTATTATTATTATTGTTAAGCAAAAGAGTATGATTAGAGGCAATAATATATTTAGACAAGTACTAAAGAAGTCGGCTCTAAAATGAATCAAGCCTTGGCTTGACGAATATTAAAAACTGTTAGAGCTCACAAAGCTTGGCTGCTTAGTGTCAAAGAAAGCAGCTAAAGCCTATCATAGACGAATAGTAAATTTTATATAATGAAACAGAGCAGAAGAAAGAACTTCTACTCAGCAAACTTCTCTCCGTGCAGCTCTCTTTATAAATTTCGTCTCTTTCTTAGATTCGCTCCTATTTTGGGCATATTCAAAGTGTCTTGTGGCAAATTAACTAGTTGCTTTCGCCGTGGCGCTGCCAACTCGGACTTGTTGCAAATGGAAACTTTTTCGCCTCAGCCGAAGCACACAAATTAAAGAACAAAAAGTGTAATTACTGTTAGCTGCAGACAGTGCCAGACTGCTGTAGGTAGCTGCTCTTGGGCAGGCAGACATTAGTTAAACAAACAGCAACAAGGCCAAGTTTGTGGCACTAACTTCAACTGAGTTGTGTAGTTCAATTTGGGACAAGCAGCAGGAAGGACAAACAAAACATCGTGTTGCATTTTAATTGGATTTCTTTTTGGACTCCGGACTGTGGAGTTGGGGACAATGCGACGCGACTTGTAAATATTTAATATATGTAATTGAATGTCTTACCGTCTGGCAATTCGTAGAGTTTCTTTGGCAATTGCGCAAAGTAGGGATGCTGCAGTGCCTCGTCGGCGCCAATGCGCTGCTCGGGATTGAGCTGCAGGAACGCGTTCGCTATCGTCTCGCCCTCAATAATATCGTACAGCCGTGGAAAATTGTGACCCAGTTTTCGTGGTCGATAGAAACCTGCCCAGGCAAATGAAGTTAAAATAAGTTTTCCGTAATTTTTTCTTTTTTTTTTTTCGAACAGAAGCCGCTGCAATTGCTGGCCAATTACTTACCCAGCTTGTGCGGTTTATAGCCAGGGAAATGTGTTACGCCCGGCCACGTGTCCTCGGTGGGCGTGCCAAGCAATTTGAATATCTTGTCCAGCTGATCGTATGTATCACGTATGCCCGGAAACGTCGGCATACCGGTCACCATCTCCACAAATATACAGCCAACGCCCCACATGTCCAGCGACGTCGAGTACTCCGTGCTGCCCAGCAGTACATCTAGAGATAGGAGGGAGAGGGAGTTAGGTGGTTAGCTACGTTAGGTAAATGTAGTTTTTTCTATGGAAATAAATTGCAATTTTAAATAAATAAACAGCTGTTAGGAACGGTAGTCGCCTGACAGCCTGACACACTGACTGACAGCCATGCAGAGGTCGTCTTAACGCTTATCTCGGCTGGCCCTAAACAAAGTACTCTGCACACACAGGCGGGCTAAACCGACGGTCCACCTGCTCTAATGTTGACCAAACCACATCCGCACGTTTGCATATATCCATTCACTTGGCTGCAGATGCTGCTGCTCTGCTCTAGCCTGGTCAAGAGGCTGCCTCGTCTGCTGCTAAGAAGTGCAGATTAAATTTGTTTAACATGCTTTGACTTGCTCCGTTGAGGTCACTCGGGAGCCTAGGGAGCAGCAGTAGCTCGAGCTGAAGCTGGAGCTGGAGCTAAAGTTGTGCACAGGCTGCTGGCAGTCGACTCGACTTCGCACAAACTGTTTATGTCGAGGGAATTGCATATTAAAAAATTAACTTTATTCTTCTTACTTCGCTCTCGCTCGCCCTCCCTCCCTCTCTCTCTCTCTCTATCATTCTCCTTTTAGTGCTTTTTTCAATTTAGCGCTGCAAATTGATGAGAAATTTGTTGAGCACGGAAAAAACGTAGCTTAATGAATTGTTTACCCATTGAACGCTGTCTATTTAGTGGAATATTAAAATTAATCTGCTTTCGGCTCTATGCAAAAAAATAAAGCTTAAAATGTTAAATGGAAAAACCCGAAAAACCAATATTAATCTACTTTCAACATAACTCTGGTAAATTTATTTCCGCTGAAAGTTGTTGAAGCTTGAACTTCGAGTGCTGCATAACTAGCAAATGAACTTGTTAATGCGGTCTGGCCTAAGCTTGGGGATTAGCAGGGAGAACCACGTTAACATGAAAATTTCATTTGTGAAAAGAGATTTCTGTTTATAGTATTCAAGTGCGTAACATTTAGAAGTTATTAAGTTCTTCCCCAAGTCAAACTCTCAAATGAACTAGTTCATTTTGTAATAAATTTTAAAATAGCATAAAATGCATACATCTATATTTTTGAATCTTAAACTAATAACCAATTATTAGAAAACGACTTAGAATTGTGTCTGGGTCAAATGAACTAGTTCATTTTTCATTAAAACAAAAATACACTTTCATATGTAGTAAAAAATGTATATAACTCAAAGTTCTTAAATTCAATTCCAAACCTAGCAAATGAACTAGTTCATTCGGAAAACTCAACCCTTCATATGCAGTTTAAGACTTAAAAATTTTAAATATATTTAAACTTATTATTTGCTTCTATTAACTAGGGGCTACTTTATTGCTGTCAAATGAACTTGTTCATTCACTAGGAGTAGATTCAAGATTATCAAATGAACTAGTTCATTACATTTTCTATTAATGCACAAATATATTTTCCTATGAAGTTTAAAATTTTCATTTCTCAAAATTTCCAGTTGAATTGCAAGAACAAGCAAATGAACTAGTTCAATTATTTTGCTTGAACTGAGTATAAGCTTCTATAAATAACTAAAAGTTCCTGCCAAATGAACTAGTTCAACAGTAAAGTTTGTAATTTCATCATATTTAAGCAGTAAAGTCTTGTTCAAGTATTGCCATAAGCTCCAATTGAACTAGTTCATTAAGCTCTTTGGCAACCCAGTTTGAAGTCATGAAAATACGCAATTATATCAAGTTGTTGGCATGTCTTGAGCTGCACTCACCTGGTGGGCGGTACCATAACGTAACCACTTCATGGGAATACGTGTGGCTGGGCACGCTCTTGGCACGGGCCAGGCCGAAGTCGGCAAGCTTCAGTTCGCCGCAGTCGCTGATTAGCAGATTCTGTGGCTTAACATCGCGGTGCAGGACACGACGCTTGTGGCAGTAGGAGAGGCCGCGCAGGAGCTGGAAAAGGAACAGACGCACATTGCGATGGTCCAGGCCACCCGGATGCTTTTCCATGTATTGCGATAGATCGGTATTCTATGGGAAAGCGGAAAACTTGATTAGCTATTGAGCCAAGTAGCGATACGAACACTTACCACATATTCAAAGACAAAGGTCAACGTCTCGCGGGTGTGCACAATGTCGTGCAGGGTCACAATGTTGCTGTGTTTCAGTTCTTTTAGCAGCGACGCCTCCCGTATGGCCGTGAATGGGGCGCCCTCCTCCTCCTGCAGCCGGATCTCCTTCAGTGCAACACGCTGGTAGGTTAATCTATGTGTGGGGTGTGTCAGGAAATTAATGAAATAAATACACAAGTCAGAGAGACCCACACGAAGCCACCCGAAATGGCCCCGCAAATGTCTCAGACAAAAGCAAACAAATGTCCACAGAGCAACACGGCATTAGGCGGGCCTCGCATTGTCCTTGCCGCAGGTCGTGTAGGCGCCCGAGTAGCTGGAGGCTAGGTGTACGCAGTTGGCTCTTCGCATACATTAAACGGACAACATAACGAGCCAAACGAAAATACGCACAAAAATGTGCGGCAACACTTAAATTAGGATAAGGCCAAGTACAGACAGGCCAGCCACGCCCTCATCGCACGCTAACGTTGCCGCCCTAAGCCGCATATTTGAAGTGTCAAATTAGGTTAAATTATTTGACACCGCCGCCGCAGACGCCAAGAATTTATGAGACCTGCTATAGCCCAGGCAAATTCTAATTGGAACTGACTACGATTCAGCGGCAACTTGAACTTGGTAGGTTCCATAAAAGAGCGGAACGTAGGGGGCCTAAGATAGGGGAAGGCATGCTAAAATCCTAGTCATAAAGTAGTTGATTTACGCCGGGTGCCAAGTGCCGGCAAAAATTGAGCAAAAGTTTTTCGCAAAGCATCTCTCAGTGAAGCTCGTCTGTCTGGTCCACTCGAATGTGTTGCGAGCCCTGCGTACTGAAGGCTGAGGGCTAATTCAGTTAACTAAAGCGTCGCGATTGCAGTTAATTGGCAGTTGACGTCAGCCACCAAAAAGTGTTTCGACTAAAAGTTACTTTCGCTTGGCTAATGATGATGACATGCGTAACGAGCAGCAGCCACTGAGTGAAAGATAATGTACTTCAAATTAACCCTGATGGTTAATCAAAGTAAGAATCGTGGTTCCACAGAACCTCAGCATTGGCAAACATTAGCTGAGTGTGTGGATGGAAGGTTGGCTAAAGCAATAATCTACGGCTTTACCTAATTTGTTTAATCACATATTTGGAAACTTAATTTAGACTTGAATGATATTTCATTAGGCGTATGCCTGCAGGAGTGAAGTAAACATTAGCTAATCGATTGAGTAATCAAAGATTTTTATGTTAAAGCTATGGCTAAGACTAAGGCATAAGCAAATGAAACTTTTTCGGCTTAAGCAATCATTTTTGTAGTTTAGCTAACTATGAGACACTTTTAGGTAGGGGTATGCCAGCAAAAGTAAAGCAAATATGAGCTCATTAGATCATCATATATTTTTGTTGAGGAACTTTGTTTACTGAACTACGTTTAAGGCCATTAGGCATTAGGGGTATGCACACAAAAGTAAAGCAAAAGGAATCGATTCTCCAATCAAATAATTCTAAAAGGAGACTTTTTTAATAAGCTAAATAAGGCTTAAATTAAGAATATGCTAAAGCATATGAAACATGCTCTTAAAGAGGAATCAGTTCAGTTTACTGTGAAACACTTTTCATTAGGGATATGTTCGTAAAAGTAAATTATTTAAAAAGTTATTTTAGTAAAATATATTTATAAAAATATATTAATAAATTTTTATATTCAAAAATTCCTGATCTAAAAGTTTCTTTGATAAATACAATTTCAAATAAGCCTAGACTAATAAAGCATATGACATATATAAAAAAAATTAATATATAATAGGGGTATGCTAGCAGAGAAAAATATAAGCTGAATATTTCTTATACACATTACAGATTGTTGAGCCAAATTTTATGTATAAAAATTACATTTTTATTGTTGATTTTAAATATTTTATTTTATTTTATTACTTTCTTCGAACAAAGAAACAAATAACTTCTATAACTCTTAGCTCATTTCCTTAAGCAACACGTCAAATAGACTTTGCTTCATTTTCAGCACTTCCATTTCCCAAATACTTGTAAAATGGAATATCATTTGACAGGCATAACACATTTTCGAGTTTATCTTGCTACACAAATGACTGTTGCTATTTGTAAAAGCCTAAAAATTTATTGGAACATAAACCAATTTGATGTTGAAACAAGTATTCGGAATATGAACTTTTGTTTATATAAATTTTAAGGCTAATTTTTATGCGAACATCAAACTTGAGGCTGTGGCGGGCTGATGATCTGCTCGAATGTCTTTGCCATTTTCTAGGCAGATGTTGTATGCCCGACAGCCGCAACGATATCAATTAAGCCTTTTATGCGATGGCAAGTGGTGTTGTTAAGAGCACACACACGCAGGCACTTACACACACACTGGCACACACTTTTATAACCTCCAAAGCGTATGCCATAAAGAGCTTATGTCTGCGCACATCCTGCGAGAACAACATCCTTTGGCTCTGCTCCTTGGCGACATGCGAAATTTTCATGTAACCAGCAGCTGCTGTGCTGTGCTCTGCGAGTATCTCAGGCAAATTACACGACGGCAACAGCAACAAGGATACATGACTACAAGGATGTGTTAGCTGGTTTTTTAGGCAGGGGTGAGCCACCTCGCAAGTGCCATGAAAAATGTATGAGAAAGCTGCAGCAGCGAGTGCCTGCCAGCATTTGATAATTTCGAACTGGGTCAACGTTTGAGTAGCTGGGCGTGGCACGCATTCGATGAGGGCGCGCCACCAAAAACCGTGCCTCACGCACTTCTGACAGCCATGTCGAAGGATATGACAGAAACTTTAGTTGCGTTAATGCAATAATAATATGATTTAGTTAAACATAAAGACCGAGCGAACGAGAGAGACAGAGAGCAAAGTTTTGCCGTCAAGCAGCAAAGTTTTGCGTTTGGCAATCGACGCCAGATGGCGCTACAGTTGACAGTTGACCTACTAAATGCTAATCAGAGGCGTTAGCCAACTCCAAAGTTCAAGTGCTCGTGCCCAAGGAAAAACAAAAACTTTTGCCCAGCGAACGCAACTTAAATAGAAGTGAAATCATTTATGAAATCTTTCAACAATTGACAAGCAAACTCTGAAGGATGGCCGAAATGTGGAGCGCGCATAAATCTTAACAACAGACCCGAAAAAAAGGAAGGCAAAGCATAAGCTAAGCCAACCAAAAAGCAAAGCACTGACCCAAATTTGCGAATTGCTGCGTATGAAATGCTAATCAGCAGGCCAAGCAGAGCGAGAAAATTTGGCTTGAATGAAAAGCCAACGGCTCACAAGTTGTCATACAGCGCCAATTTTCATTTGCATTTTCCATTTTGCCATTTCCCCATTTCCCTAATTCCCTATTTCTACAGTTCTTGGCCACGTTTCCTTTTTGGCCCAGATAAATTAGAGCGAATTAATTGCATTCCGAATAAACAAAGCTAATTGGAACTCATTTCGCATGTGGCTCTACGCTCTGCATGCCAAATGAGAAGCCGATGCTGAAGCCAAAGCTGAAGCTAAAGCTGAAGAAAAACAAGTTTTCCTTGTTTTTCACGTAAATGCCCATTGTTATAGTCGCTCGCTGAGGGCTGGTGCGGGCGCTGGAGCTGGGCTGCTCTGCAAATGATTGTCAAATAAATCAGCAAAGAAGGCAGCAAAAGTAAGTCGCAGAGGCCAATGCAACTGACAGCCACTGGGTATTCATCATGTAGCACCCTCCTTCGCCCCACTCATTGCTTGTAAATATAAGTAGCCTGCCAGCCTGCGTGGCCTGTCAAAAAGGTGGCGATGCTTGTTTTTGTTGCCGGCGCTCATTTGTCAAATTATGAGAGACGCAGCTCAACAAAATCAGAGCAGGCGCAAATGAGGCGGCATTTGTTAAGGGGAATGAGAGCGAGAAACTGGGCGGAGGCTGAAGCTGAGACTGAGGCTGCTCCAACTGCTGCCAACTCAATTGTGTCAAAGAAAAGGGTTACGCAGAGCCTTTGAAAAGTGCGTTAAGAACCCAAAAAGCCAAAACAACAATTGTGGAACCCCACAACAACAACAACTACAGCAACAGCAGCAGCAACAGCTACTACAATGGTATATTTTGCCAACACAGTTTTTTTCTAAGCATGTCTGCCCCATTGTTGCACTGCTGCCCATTGTTGGAACCTGCCCCAGCGCCTGATTGATAGCCGCATTTGCATAGGAAAAAAAAGAGGAAGCTGCGTCTGTGTCTGTGCTCCAACTCGAAGGGGTTTTGTAATGAGCCTGCCAGCAGCTTCACATAAATAGTATATATATAGTGTATATATAGGACGCTGCATGGCAAATGAGCACACAGCCGGATGCAAAATGGCAACAACAAAAAGATAGAGAGAGTGAGAGGGGCGATTGGGCTGGAAAGTGCTGCCCGGGCAGCATTTGTAAATAAATCAAGAGAAAATGGCGGGCGGCATTGTCACACAATTTTGCTTAAAAGGCATTTGATTTAGGCGCAGCAACTGTAAAGCTGACAGGATGGGACGCAACGTACAAACAGGACATGTCCAACCCGTTCGTCAGCCTTGAAGCTCGTCAAAATTCATGGAAGGCAGCAGAGCAATAATTTTGCTTAACCCAGTGACATGGCAACCCAATTTGAGGACCGCAACTTGATTTATGGCACACAGTTGGGACCCCACTATAAAGTTGTTACTGTGCATGTGTATGTGTGTGTACTCACTTGCTAAATCCTTTGTAGACTGTCGCATAGGAGCCCTCGCCGAGCGGTTCCAGCTTAACATACGCCTCCTGCTTGCCAAATGGTGAGTCGCCCTGTGGAGAGATAAAAAAAGACAAAATGCTGTAATTAGCCGAAGGCTTTGCAACTTGATGTCAATTCATGCTGCACTCAATTCTTAAAAATCTCAAGATAAATTGTGTTAAAGGAACGCCTGAAAGTATGCAGCACAATGTGCTTCAGCTGGCGCTTAAAAGTAGGCAATAGAAATTTGACAATCGAAATTTATGCATTTAAAGTAGACTGCTGATTTATACTTCTAATTGTTATGTAACCCGTGAAACAAAGGAATGAATGCATAAATAGGACGACTATATATATCATACAAAGTCACATGTACACTTATAATTTGTTCATAAAATATCGCTTTCAAATTGAGACTTAACTTGTTACAAAACAAAATTGAAACAAGCAATTTGCTTTGCCTAGTTGAACTAGTAAAAGAAGAAGCATCAAGGATTGGGAATTCTAACAATTCCTGAACAACTTTCTTCTATTGCATTCACACATGCACAGATACCCGGACCTGCATTTTTAATATAAATATAAACTCAATCAAACTAACTGAAACTTTTCAATGTATTCACTCACTCGGAACACTCAATGCCAAGGCAAAGGGTCCCACCAAGACAAATTTCAAAGAGATAAAAATATTTTCAATGACCAGGCCAACCACCACGTTGCGAACTAGAGTCGAGCGCAGCTACAACCAGTTGAGAATTATATGAGCAGAAATGTGCAAAAAACAGCGCACAGAAATATGCAACGATTTACGCGCGGCCACAGGCGAGCAATGCGTAAATAAAGAACAGTTATGTGTGTGTGTGTGTGTGAGTGCTCATATATATGAAGAGACATATCAAATGACCAGCGATAAAGTACAGTTAGACAAAGTGAGTGCATAAATTGATTGAAATTGATTGAGTGAGCAGAAAATGTTTTTGCTGTTGCTGTTGCTTTTGATATTGCTTTCGTTTTACTTACGCCAAATGCACTGAACCGTTTTCGTCGCGGATGTGGATCCTGCTTGTTGAGAAAGACCTCGGACTTGGGTCTGGGCGGCTTCTTGGGTCGCATAACGACATGCGAATGGTATTTCATCTCCTCCCTGATATCATCGTCCAACAGCTTGCTGTCCGACGAGACCGACAATTGTCGCTGTACGCGATCATGATGGTCGGTGCTGTCCGTGCTGCGCCAGTCTGCAAAGCAAGAAGAGAAGAAAAGGCATGAGTGAATGGTGAGCAAAAGAGGGTAAAGAAACAGCTTAACGAGCTTGTACAAGTGCTTGCAATAGACTAGTTTAAATCTAAATTAGTGTCTCGCACAGAGACACGCTGAGTGGCCTGTGAAAAGGTACGCGGAGTACGAGGAAACAAAGCGAACGCCGACAAATGGCCAGCTGCAGGCTGAAGGACCTTCAAGGAGCGCAAAAAGGATTTGGGGCTCGGCATAATGAGGCCACAGCCTCACCTCCTGTCGACCAGTTGTTAGCAAGTTTGCTCATTAACCAAGTGAGAGAAAGCGCGCGGGGGGAGGGGGAGGGGGGGGGGCTGCATCCATCAATGACCAGCCTTGAAACCGTTGCATGCAACAACTCTGCGGCAACTGTGGCAACTCTGCCATGTTTACACAGCGGCAACCGAAACCGAAAGCCGGAACGAATCGAATCCGCTGAAGCTCTGCATAATACAGCTGGCAAATATAATAAAAATGTTTCAAAAGATATATATATATATATACGTGTAGCTGGCAGCAGGTGGCAGCCAGTTCAAAGTTGGTCTAGGACAAACTTTTGTTGCAATTGTAATTGTGGGCGTGGCAGCTGCTGCGGCAGTGGGTCACCTAGTAACCCGGTGATATTCATTGACTTGGGAGCGTGTCAGCGTGTCCCTTGCTGGCTTTCAATTTGCTTTAGCAATTTGTTTGCATTGCCACTGCCACGCCCACGCCCACGCAGCGCAGGTACACTGCCCGTGTGGGCGGGCAGCTCCCACACCCTCTTACTCTCTCTCTCTGCACTTGGCTTCGCTCTGTTTGTTTGGCTTTCTATTTGAGCACTAATTACATTTTAAATTATGTTTGCTTTTGGCATCGTCGTGGCTGCTGCTGCTGCTGCTGTGGATGCAGTTGCTACCGTGACTGTTGCTCTGCCAGCTGCAGACACACACACACACATACACACACGTGTGTGTGTATCTTTGTGGGTTTATTGAAATATTTATATAATGTAGTTGTGGCTGGCGGCAGTTGCCAGCGCAGTTTCAGCGCAAATTGGTTTTGTTACAGCCCTCAAAAACCTGCCTGTGCGCTGGGCGTTGGGCGTTGGGCGTGGCGGCAAGTGTACATTTCATGATACATAGTTCAATGCAAGCGAGTGTAAATAATACAAGCGCGTGAGCAATCAGCTCAGTTTAAATTCAATTTAACCAAAAGTTGAAGTTCTATTTAGCAGCGAGCATCAAGTTCTCCTAATATTCCATTCATAATTTGGCAATGCTAAAGTCTCTGGTGTAACACTTGCTTAAACGCGTCTTTCAATTTTCCCAACAGAAGCTTTCATTGAATTGCATTTCCGTTGGGCTTCTAACCCACATTTGCAGCTCACAGGAAACGCAGCTCTTGCCACCTACTCACATATTAATATATGCACACACATACACACACACACCCCTATACACACACATGCCACAGTCAATGGCCTGACCATAGTAAGCGTAAGAAAAACTCCATTTACCAAACTGCGCGTTCAAGAAGGTCCTCCAACTTCGCCTGCTTTCATTTTGTTTTTTTCACGCCTCCCCAAACACCGTAAGGCGCATAAAAACAAGTAAATCTGGCTAAAAGTTTGGCATTGACTGTGAGCTACCCTAGACTTACTTAGCTGAAGAGTAAGTTCTTAGCAACTTTAGTTACTTTTGCTTTATAACTCTAACGCTCAACTGTTAAGAAGTCAGCTGCTTAGACTCTCTTGATTTTAGCCAAACATTTCAGGCAACAAAAGTCAACAAGTTTCAACACATCTTTCAATCTTTATTATACTTTTTGCTATTATTATATAATCTTGAATCTCATAAATAGTTTGTATTTTTCTCTATCTGCAATACATGATTTTTGTTTACTGAAGAGCTTCAAGTTATGAGTTTTCATTACAGGCAAAAACATATATTGATCTCGTCTTCTGCTCATCGCCTATCGCGACGACTGCCTTTAGCAGTCTCTCAGCCACAGGGTATATAGAGAAGAGCAGTAAGAAAAAACTAAATAAAAACCGAATTTAATATGCGCGCACAAGATGTTCGCTGTGGATGGAGCTTCCTGTTGCCTGTTGCCAGACAGTCAAACAGAATGTTGAGAAATTACTAACATAAAAATTAAAAATTCAACAGTCGAGGCAGAGCAGTAAGAAAAAACTTTTGGGCAAACTTGGCCGGCAATGCTGAGCATAACAGGATATCAGGATATCAAGATATTAGGATATGAAACGTTGCCTTCACGAACGGACGTTCGTTGAAAGCTAATCCGACTGTGAATCGCATGTGCCACACACACACACACACACATATGGCATATGTACATATTAGACGAAGGAAGCACACAGACATTTTCTATGAACGTTACATGGCAAATGTTGACGGCGATTAAATGCGCAATATGCGCCATAAATGAGCCAAATAAAAGAAAAGAAAACCCAGAGAAAACTTGAATAAAAAATAAAAGATATTGAACCGGCAGGGCCACCAAGCTCCAACCACCTTCAGTTCCAGCCAAATCTCATCTCCTGCTAGTGCCGCAGGCAAACTGCTCGCTCTACTCGTCGACATTGTCATCCTGGCAGCCGTCTTGGCTACAGCTCAAAAAAAGGGGGGAAAGAGCTAGATGAAAACCATTTGATTTGCAGAAATTGACTGAGCATTGGCAAAGTGGCTGTAAAATTGGAAAAATGACTCGCAAGGCAAGAGATTTTTGCGCGCTTCTATTTGGTATATTAGAAAGTTCTAAAAATTCCAATAGTTGTGATTATTCAGCTGCGAGTGCCAACAAAGCCAATAGCAATGGCAATTCCGAGACACAAACTTGGCGCACATCAAAAGAGCCAGCGACAATCATTTGCCAATGATAATGACAATGCAAATAGCCAAGCTAATGGAACAGTTGGCAACGCTTGCCGCACCATGTGGGTGTTACCACACACATATCGAACTACACTAGACTACATTTATAGCTATTGATTAGGGTGCCTGTGCAGAACTAGGGCAATGGCGACTGCGCTCCAATGGCCCAAGCACATATTGCAACAAAGTTGTGCATGATTTTAACATGATTTGTGACTTTTTTATGTTGCTTAAACGATCTGGCAACGCTAAACAATGTTGCATGCTTGTTAAGTTGGCTGCGCTTGTACATTTTGTACTAGAAATGCTAAGGACTTGTAAACTCGAGTTGAAAGCTGATAACAACAAAAGTTTGCTGTTGCTTTAGTCACTTCTTGAGTCGGAAACATTTTTTTTTGGGTCTAACAATTTGTGGTTAGGTTATGGACTTATTGCAGGATAGAATTAGCATGCACATTGTATTATGTTGTAACTTCATAGAGTCGATTTATACTACCTATAAAAGAATTTTATTTTATTCCCTTTTATAACTTTTTAGTTTTAGTTTTTTTAAGAGATAAAGATTATCATTCTGTATATGAAACATTATTTTAGGGCTGCCAATTGTTAAGTGTATTCTGTAATGTCTCTGAGATTTACTCTCTACCAATCTTTCATATTAGCAAAGATCCCGCTTTATACTTCACTGAAGGGAGACATTCTGCGGACTTATAAGATTTTCAATTCTGTCAGGAATACCTCCCGTTGCCTTCAACCTTCATCTTCCGCTCTTCTGTGGCTCAGAAGTTTTCAATTCTGTCAAAATGAATATTTCAATCTCTCTCGATCTGCCGTGCTTCGCCTCGCCTTACAAACTATCTTATGGCATAACAGAAATGTTATTTATATGCTGAAATCTTCTACCGAGTTTCTTCCTCAGCACTTTTACAGCATTCATAAAGTTATATAGCCAGTTTTTAGGACTGCACTCAAGCGCAGCCAACAGCTCCCCACTTTGTACGTAGTCACGCTCCTTTTGGAACTCCTTTAACGCCTTTATGCTTAAGTTTTATTGCGTTACACACTAAAATCTCTCGGGCGAATAACTTGAAATGCAAACAGAAATCAGAACAGGAAACGGTTCACAAAACAACAACTTAAATAAAATGATAAAGCGGAGCAAGAAAAAAAAAACAAAATGAAAACTGAGTGCAGAAAATTCGCGTATAAAATGAAAACAATGAAAATTATGCAAGCGCGTTACATCAGCGGCGAAAAAGTAAAAGAAATGGAAAAATGTGTCATACGAAAAAAAACGGAAATGATAAAAATAGCGGGCGCTGAAGCAGCAGACTGTGAAAGGGGGAGAATGAAGGGAATTGGGGAGCGGATGGGACTGTCGCTGATGCTGCGGCTGCTGCTGCCTGGTCATAGTTATGCAAATGCTATGCAAGGATGTCACGTCCTGCTGTGACTTAAAGCCAGCCAAACACTTGCACGCAGACACGCGACCCCAGTGGGTGGCTAAATTGTATCTTTCCCCAGAGTCTTAGTCGCTCTGTTTATATTCTTGCCTTTGCATATGTGCACTGTGTGCGTGTATGTGTGTGTGCCCAGCTGTTAGCGGCATACCCCTACTGTTGGCCTTTTGCATTATTGCATATTATTCGCAATTTCTGTTTACTACTCGTATTTGTTTTTGGCTTTGCGGCATTATTTATGACTGTTTGCGGGCCTGCCGCTTGCCCAGCGGCAATACACTATAATAAAAATCACACACCCACAACATACATCAGCTAGTGTGTCGCCTATAAAAGAGAAATGAGCTAAACATAAAAAATTCTTACTTTTCATTTGCATAAGTGCGCGGGCCACGTAATGCGTGCCAATTTATGTCTCTTGTATTGCCAAAGTATACTATGAAACATAGTTTTTTATTACATTTATTATATGCCCAGTACTGGAAGACTGTTGAGCGTTGATGTAGCTGGCGAGACTCATTTTTCAGCAGTAGATTTCATTAAAAGTGCATTTAAGGGGTAGCTACTAGTCGAGTTGAACTTTTTTTCATACTTTGTAAACTATGACACTTTATTTTTTAAAGAAAGCAGAAAAATCTGTTAACATTTGCATTTAAAAATAATTTTTTTGTTTTGCGTGGTATGTGCTAGTCGTGCTTTAATGACTTTTTCTGCTAGTTGTGTTAACGAGAGGCTTTAGTAGAAGCTTTACGCTGCCTAAGTTCTTCATAATTTGTGCTTCACTAAGCACTTTTCGCCAGCTTTTTAATTAAAGTAGTATCTGCTAGTCGAGCATCTTAAACAACTTGTTTAAAACAAATTTTGTTTAAGATTAGAAAAGTAGAATTTTGAGTATTTGGCATATTTCAATGCCACTTTCTAATTTTTAAAGGGTATTTATAATCGAGCTGTTTTTATTAATATATTAAGTCTCTATAAGTTGAATTTATATATAATTAACTTTGACTTAGCTAGCTGTTAGTTTATATACATTAACTAATAATCCAACTTACGCGGTATCTGCTAGTCATGCCTACTCTGAATCCTTTTTTATTATTTTTCATATGCGCGTGTCACGCGTTTGCTGAAAAATTTAATAAAACAAACATTCGCTCAACTCGTTGAAGCATGCCGAAAGCCCCTTGGCTCTGTCCACATCAAGCCAAAACAAATAAAATATATACCAACTGTTTGAGTGTCTATATATTTATGCGCCGGGGTGTATCTCCAGAGTGGATATTTCCTCTGCAGCTGCAGCTGCTTGGCCAGCGACAGGAAATACAATTTTGATAAATGCAACAGCACAGCACAGCTCAGAGCGGCGCGCTCCACCACGATGGCCATCGACAACGCATTTCAAATTGGGCAACCGGCCACGCCCGCGCACCAGCCGCCCCTCGCCCACAGTCACACTGTAAGCTTTATCTCTGGCGACATCAAGTGTCCTCCAGCTGAAACATTTGCGCTGTGTTTTTATTTGTTTGCGGACCGCTTCTCCTTCGACCGTCCGATGTTATGTTTGTGATTTATTATTCAGGCCAGAAATTAAATTTTCTCTTTTTACAGCAGCCTCGTCTCCTGCTCCTTGTGTATTTTGGCAGCCCTTTTAGTGTCACAGGCACACCCACACACATACCCCCCTTGTTTAGTGCCACAAAATTTATTGTGTTGTTGCTGAATTCAATTACAGCGATGATAACCGAAAGGAAAAAAGGACAAGGCCAAAGCCCAGGCGATAGCTGGAGATGGCGACAGGAATCCAGACACCAGACTCTCTAGACTCTACACTCTAGACTCCAGACAAGTGCAGTCAATGCCAAAGGGATTTTCAATATTGCATCCTTGAATGCCACACACAAACTCACACACACACATACACACCCTCTAAGCCTCGCAAATGTCTCAATATGAAAATGATAACCCGCTGCGTTTTGTCATTAACTTTAGCCTGTCGACTGCACTCGGCGAGCAAGGACAACGGCACAGGACGACGCTGACGACGATGATGATGATGACAAAGGCAAATTCTAATGCCAAACTACACAAACAGAGCGCACAAAAGACATCATATCTATTTTAATGACATTTTGAAAGCTTTTCCCATAAAATATGATTATTTAAATTGCTGTCAAAACAGAAATAACAGCAAGAAAAACAACTTAGAGTGCTGCAGTAGGAAGTGCACAACTAGACAATACCCTAAGTCATGGTTTATAGATATAAAATATTGTGGATCATATATATATAGAATATGATAATGGCTTCGCTAACTAAACATTGATAACATCTTTAAGCGAAAAACTTTGTTTTAGCTTGAGCTGTGGAAGGATCTAACTAAAGTCTCTAACTCTAACAGGTTTGGGTATTTTGACGTTCTTACACCATATGGTCAGACAAGTCTATATCAAGTGGGCTATTGATACTGATCAAACATATATATAGCTTAGAGAATCAGCCAAGACTTCCACTGCACGTTACATACACTCTACTAAAAAACAAAATACATCGCTTTGAATGAATCTGAGGTATCAAAACAACTATTTAAATAGCCATTCAAAGCAATTTCCGTTAACAGCATGCAAAAGTTCAAGCTACGCATATGGAAAGTAAATAACAACTACAAGTAAAAAAGCTAATTTAAAGCTAGAAATGTTGGGAGTGCATCATTACCTTGTGGTTTATTATTATCATTTTTCGCAGATTCTTGTGCTAAAAATAAAAGGTAGAAAAAAATATGCAAATTAAAATGAAAATTCGTTGCAAAATAAATGAAGTTTTAAGCTAAGCAGGATTTAAGACTAGCTGGGATATTGCATAGATGAGAATATGTAATTGTAGATGTGTGTGGGAAGCAAATTCGTGAGTTTCATATGAGCAAAAGCAAAACTAAGCTATAAATATATATTTGATACGTAATTTATTGTAAATGTAAAGCGCTTTAAAGTCAGTCGGACACAAATTAATTGATGAATTTTAGTAAAGTTCATAGATAAATACTTTACAAATAGTAGTTTCTTAAGTCAGGAGTAGCTATAGAGAGTAAAATGCAGAGTGAGCGGCAGAAATATTTCTTTATCTATTACTCTTTGCGTTTCTCTCATTTTCATTGATATCTGTGAGCTCCTTAGCAATTTCTTAAGTTACATTTGGTTAAAGTCAGTCATAAACTTCATGAGAATCGCAAAGAGAGGCAGTTTTAAAGGCTGTTTCATGGCAATTATGGTTAAAAAAGTACAAAACACGTACGATCTATGTGCTAGCATGAATACATAAATTCTAATCTAGTTAAAGCTTTTGATTATATTTTATGCATTTCATTTCAAAACAAAAATTTTGCCAATTCATTCAGAAAAAAAACTTTGCATAGCTTAAGAGCTCATGGCACAAATTGATGTGAAAAATGAAACAGGTAGAAATGTATAAAATTCAGACTAGGTATTCTAACTAAGCACACACAAGTTATTGTTCGCATATCGATTTGTAGCTGGCTATAATCCACTCTCGAGTCAGCTCGGGCCGCTATTACACGCTTGTTGACCAACCAACGAGCAATGCTTAAACTTTAGCAGCTCTCTCGCACTCTCTCTCTGCTTGTGAACAAATAAAAGCATAAATTGCGCGTAATAATTGGCCAAAAAACACATTTAATGGCTTATATACCACGTCAAGGACGTGGCAAGGCAAGGACAACGGCTGCTGCTGCTGCTGCAACATTGAGTCGTTAAGAGATTTACTCCTTGGCCATATTTCTTTTCGCACTCGACCAGAGCACACCAGTGGAAAAGTGGTAAAGAGCTCTCCGAAATTTAGCTCGTATGTTGCCATATTATTGAATAAGAAATTGACATTTGATTAGAGATTTGGACGCTGTGTTGTGGTGGCTCGGCTCACAGTGGTCCCCAGTAGACCGGCGTGGCCTGCGGCCTTGTTCTCGAACCGGGCAGCATATCCTTTCGTTCATCACTTCCAATTACCGCTTATTTATTGCTTCATTTTCACTGGCAGAACTCACTTACTCAGCCCGAGGGCCCGAGCCAAATTGATTTGTGTCCGTGTGTGTTTGGATTAAGCCGGCGACCGTTTGAGGATTTGTAGCTGAACTCTTTCCCGGCCATTACTTCTATAGCTAAGGGATTTATTAAGAGCAGAACAGTTGGCAGAAAAGAGTGAAGCAAAACTGTTGCCGCTTGATTGTGTTTAATTACTCAAACCAGAGGACAGCCATGTCGAACATTGATTTTCATTTGCGATATAATGAAAAGCGTTTCCAATTAGAGACCAGCAAAAGGGCTCAGTTGTTGCTGTTGCTGTTGCTGTTGTGGCACGCTTTATTGCGATTGTTGTTGCTGTTGCTGTTGTTGTTATTAAAAGATGAACAAACACGTACAAACAATTTGCGCGACGTGAGCCAAAAGCCTTTTTGGCTCAAGGAGCAAATTTTTAATTGCTAGCAGCAGCGGCAGCATCAGACTCTGCTTTGTTGACAGCAATTTGATTGGACGCCAACAACACATAATTACTCATGCCACATGTTGCACGCGACAAGGCGAGACAAATTTTTGCCAAAGCACGGGCCGCTGGGCAAGCTGCAGGTGACAAGGGCTTCAATCAGCGCGCTTCGCTTCAGGTGTGAATTGTAAATCGTGTGTAAATTAAAAAAAAAAATGTTTAATTAAAATAGCTTGGAAAAGCGTAGAGAGAAGAGTGGCAGAGACTTGGGCTGCAACAGATTTTCTGCTAAGTTTTTGATCATTGAAATAGTAGTGTTGACTTGGCTGACAGTGCTGTAGATGTAAAACTCAATTGCTTATGCTAAATCTGTGCATGAAACAAGAGTGAAACAGTTGACTTAACTTGGCTGACAGTGCTGCAGGTGTAAGGCTCAATTGCGTATGACTCGTGGCACTTTATTGACTCTCTCTCGATGGCCAATTCATCTAATCCGCGCTGCAATACCCAGCTTGACATGACTTATATAGAAATGACAAATGTAATTAAAAACTTCAACAGCTCAATATTATTGATAGCCTAAGCAACTGTTGAGCTATAGTTAATGGAAATGGTATCACTCTTGTTTGGTCTTTTGCATACTAAAAACAGCTCAATGCAGGCTGCCTCGCGCTATACTCATTCGTTTATAAACCTTTTAGAAACTCCTTGCAGCAATTCCATATCAATGCAAGAATTGTAACAGCTTTTCGAGTGCTGCTGATTGTCTGCTGGCAGCTGATGTGTCTAAAAGCGGCTTAAAGCTACAACAATAGCACTTTGATGTTTTCGTTCTCGTTTTCTTTTTCTAATTAACAGGCAAGCCGCAGGAGTATCAGCAGCAACATCAACAACAACAGCAGCTTGTGGAGTAGTAAATCCATCAAGTTTCAGGCACACACGTCCGCACGGGCGGCCACATCCTGCCGAGACATGCAGGCAAACACGCAGCAAAGGATATTACTTAACAAATTACATAAAATTACTTTTCTTGTACGTTACAGGCAAACAAAGCAGTCGCAGAGCTGAGGGACGGCTCCACAAGAAATCGCTTAACGATTACAGAGTATACAAACAGAGTTTTTGGCAGACGGAGGCGGGCGGACTAAGAGATACATAATATGCTGCTGTCAAGTCGAAAAATGTTAGGCCTGAACTTGGAGTTAAGGGTTGTGTGGGGGGCTGGGTAGATAGGCTGATGCGTGTGGGCTGGCTTGCTAAGCTTTTTCCACTTTTCGACATACGCTGTTGGCACAGCGCAAACAAACAAAAACAAAAGCAAAACAAAAACCAAACAATTGGCGGCATCATTCATCATGAGCCAAAACATATGACACATATATAGCGTGGGTGGTGCGGGGCAGACTTTGAAATTAGTGGAATGGGCCGCGCCCACAGTTAGTCACACAACAATGTTGATGCTAATTAAAAGTGTTGTCTGCTGCATACAAGTTGAGAATCATGCAAGTCGACAGACTGAACAGGATCAAGTGACGTAAGGGATATGCCCGAAATGGCAGGAGTCGAGTTTCCGGTTACATTTAATGAAATGCCAAACAATTTGAATGAATACAATACGCAACGGCAAGTGCGGCATGAGCTAGGCACTGGGAGGGTAGCTAAAGGTGAGGCAAAGCGTTGACGTTGACTCAAAGAGGCCAACGCAAATGCAATTACTTACTAACGGAAAATTAGTGCTGCCATTGTGCATAAATTGTTGCACGACGCGCACACACACGGGGCGTATGCTTGATATGTGACTGCGCTTTTTGTAACCAGCTGCCACTAGTCAACCACCCGCCACCCGCCACCCGCCTGCACCCGCCTGCTCCGTGCTTAAGTGCGCAAATTATGCTCATCATTGTGTGACACAATTAGCGCTGGGGCCAAGCCCGCAGAACGCATGAGGAGCGCAACTTAACCCTAATGGATGCATATGCTACGGCAGCAGCAGCAGCAACAGCAGCAACAGCAGCAGCAGCTGCCTGGCACTCTGCAATTTTCTCATTTTTACTTCTATGCAAGTCATTTCATGCATGCGAAATTAGTTTATGCGCACAATTTCAAAAGAGTGCGCGGGGGCAGACGCAGACACACAAAAAAACCGCTAAAAATTTCACACTAAACGTTGGCCATTATGCAACATTTTGTTGCAAGCGTTTATGGCCAACAGGCAACAGCAAAAGCGGAAACAGCAGCTATGCATTGCATCCGCTTCACAGTTACTCACAATTTTTTGGCCAACTGCATTTGTCTTGTGTCTAAGCCTATAGCCCTAGCTGCAGCTAAGACGCCTGCGAATCTTGTGGCACATTTTACTCAAGTGACATGCGAGCCAAGTTTTTACATAAGCGACAACACAATTTAGATAAAAACAATCTAAGAGTTTGTTACGCATATATTTTTTAAAGTTTGGAATCTCTTTCGGTCTGGCTAAGTCAAGGAAATAAGAGACATTTTCTGTTGCTGATGCAAAATATATAAAATGTGTTGGCATTTTGTATATGGCTTCTGGCGAGCTGTCTATGTTTTAATTTTAATCATTTTCTGGCTGTATATCCTTAACTAGTTTTTAATAATTGTTAGTCAACTATCTGCATTTTCAAGTCAGAATTTTTATTGTTTGTAAGCAGCTATAACTGAGATCATAGCTGAAGCTGCGCTATCAAAACTTACAGACTATAAGAACTAGATACTATATACTAGATTTAATTTTAATGCTAGCTAAATGATGTTCGATAGTCCATAATATCTCAGAGAACAGAGAACTACACAAGTTATATCAGCATAATTTTATTCACATATGCAACAAAGACAGAATTCTAGGAATATGAAACGTATGTCAATATTATTTCATTTCATCTATACCTAATCCATATACTAAGAAGTCAATAAGTATCTGTGTTCAGATAAGGCAGTTCAACTGCAGTATTGATTGACTCCCACACATAGAGCCTCCACTCATTTCAGATGCTCCGCCGTCCGCCTATTGATTGTCTTGAGCAGCCTTTCGCATAGCTGTTGTATATAAAAATATTATGTTAGCTTAAGCAATGAAGAATTGTTGCTATTCAGCATGTTGACTTGCCAAGCCATGCTCAGAGTTATTTTCTCAAACATATATTGATCCAGGAATTTTCATATTTTATATAAAGATAAGTCTCTATGTTCAAAGTACTTGCTCATTTTCTATATATTTTAACTAAGCAGCTATGCTCAGC